CAATACAGTAAAGAACTATCCTCTGGAAAATGACCAAGGAAATTGTTAGGCTTGTTTACAGAGTTTACAGAATTCTTCCCAGAAACACACTATATTAATAGGAATAGGGTCTTTAAAAAAGTTCAAGAAAAAGAGACAAAAGCCACATTTCTCTTTGAGATATTTACAACATGGAGATTTATAGGCAGTATCATTTATGATAGTGGAAATGCAATTATTTCAGTTTATGATAAAGAAATTTGAACTATTTATGACATCCCCCTCAAGTAAGAAATCACATTGCAAAGTTGGAGCAAACTGCTGTGGGTGCCCTAAGGTAGATCCCAGAAGAGAGTAACAACAAGGTGTACATGCATGGTCTCCCAGGCACAGGCATAGAAGTCAAACCAACCTGTCATTTAGCAGGTGTGCACATTCAGAGTTTAACTCCTTTATCTATCAAATAAAGATAACAAAACCTACCCCAGAAAGACTCGTGAACAGGGCCGTGTGACTGATAGAGTCTCCCAGGGTCCCACACTCAGATGGGCCTTTTGTTTGCAGTTTTATTGCTTTGTGGTCACTGTCTTGAAATTTTTAATAATTTTATCTTTGATTTTGACTTTGGTAAGCTAAGTCTTCTGGGTCAACGGAGTAGGCCCTAGAGGCTTGGAGCTTGGGGTCACATAGGGCCCTACCTACCCATCTCTCCAGGAAGAGATCTCAAGGATGCTCTCCTCACCCACAAGCAAGCATTGTGGCCTCCCACCCGCACCTGGGCCTGGGCATGGCTTGGGGTCAGATGTAAATGTCCTGCTTGCAAAGTCACAGGGCAGGGCCCTGGGCTCCTCTGAGGGCCTACACTTGCCCTGCAAGTAACTCCATGCCAGGGGGAGCAAGTTTCCAAAGAGCTATGACAGGTAGAGAAAGAAACCTTTGAAAAGAATAAAAAGCATTTTTCTTGCTTTTTGAATAAGAAACCTATATTTCCATTTTGCAGTGGGCCCCGCAAATAATATAGCTGCCCCTACTTGTGAGACATAGATTTTTATCATACATAATTTTTGTGCATGCATCAGAAAGAAAACATCAGACAAATAGATTGGCTCTGTCAGAGTGGAAAGCCTAGCAAACTTCTCATTGTTCATTGTCTTCATCCTTGTCAATGTGTTGTTCCCTTTCAATGATGGGAGTTTACTATTGGTGGGCACATCTCTAAGATTTTTCTAAGAACTTAGAGGATAAACTAGAACATATTTTGGATGCTTTTCTTCTAATAATTTCTATTTTCTAGATGTGTTGCAATAGGACTAAGGTGGGTCCCTACCACAGCAATTAAACTCATAGGACCTCATCATGCAAGAACTGAACATCTCTAAACCACTGAACCACAAGATTTGCTTTGTAAATCAATGAAAATGACATTTTCCTCTAGGGAGACTTACATCCAGAATAATAATAAGTTTCTACTCGGCAAATGATTTGAGACTTTGAGCTACCTTAACTTCTTTTTAGAAATAGGACATAAATAAAAAATCAATATAATCTCCTTTAGAGCCATCTGGTGTTGATTTTTCTACTGTACCTCCTGAGAACCCAAAGGAGCCAAAAAGAGAAGGAAGTAATTTTTTCTGTTCACTGCAGCTGCCAAAGTAGTCACTAACTTTTTTTCTACATTCACCTGTAAATGAGAACCAGCACACAAAACAATACATGTTTTATGAATCTAAAGACATATTAGCCAAATGTGGAATGATTTGGATTGGTCTGAGCCAATGTTAATGGCACTTGGTCTTTTTAAGTCCCTATAATTGGGCAATGTAATTTCTCATGTGGTAGTGGTAGGAGGAAAGTAGAGGCCCTGAGAGTAGTGTGATTGAAGTACTGCTCATTCCCAGTTCATTTTTTACACCACCAAACACACTTTCCCTTTAGCCTTTCCTTTGGTGAATAAATACAGTATTCCCAAATCTCTTCACTTTTCAGGATGAAGCCCTTTAATCTATGCTTATGGGCACTGATGTCCACAGAATCTTCCCCACCTGCATCTTCCTTGAGTTGTTGACTTCAGGAATTATGTGTATATAACTCATATAGATTACTAGGCAATTTTGTGACTGGAAGTTTCTGGTTATGCTATTACTCCTGTTACATTTATCATGCAAAAGAAATACGGCAAATAAGAGTCCTCTGTTAATGTCTCATTTCATCTTGAGAACCAAATGAGGTGAAAACTGTATCCTTATTTTGCCCAGAGGTTAAGTGACTTCCCTAAAGTCACACATTAAATATAAATCACACTGATAAGATTAGAGCCCAAGCAGTCCAGATCCCATGTTCTCTCCCCACAATGTATGATTCCTTCGTCCATAGATCCTAATTTATACCAGTTTATCTTGCCCATATTCTCTTGCTGCTTTCTAATTGTGCTTGAATTTTCTGTATATAGTCTCTCTGACCATTCATATACTCCTCAAAGGCAGGGAAGAAGCTTTCTCTTTCTGTTTTATGTACCCAAAGGGCTTATTACTAAAGGCAGACCACAGACCATTTCTGAAGAGACACCCTTGGGGCTCTCAGCAGAGAGCAATGCAAATAACAATTGCCCAAGAGTACTATCTGAAACCAAAGAAACATCAAAAATATTCCCCTTCCTCACTTCTCTTAATCAATACTTTCTATTTATTCAGGCCCAAGCTTATGAAGGGTGAAGATTGTCTTGACGAAGAGCAAGCCCTCTGGCTACTAATGCTGACATCTAGAAAAATCACAATGCTTGGATTCAATATTCTGCACTATAACTCCCTAATAGACTCAGAAAATGGCAATGGATACGTGCAGCCTTTTCTGAGCTTCTAAAAAACATTCATCCATCGCATTTCTCTTTAATTTCTTTTCTAATTATCTGACTGCCTTTTACTTGAGCCCAGCAGAATTGTAAATATGAGAAAGGAAAATTAGCTAGTAGGCTTAACATGAAGAGGAAAGTTGGAGATTTGTATTGTATTTGTATCAAGTCATCTACTTTCAGCGTTTGAATCAGTTTGCTAGCTGGAATAAGATTTCTGGGTGAATAACTTTCATTAAAACATACAGGGTGCATGTTAACAATAGTATATATTCACAAGTGGCCACTATTTTTAGTGGCATCACTCAGCAAAAGGAAGTGGTGTTCCTGGGTTGCCAAACCCATAAGAAAACAGAAACAAAAGAAAAACATACTATGTGGGGTCTTCGTTCAGCTTTTTCTAATCAGGAATAGACTGTTTCCATTTCAAGAAATTACTTGGAGTGCAAAGGCTACTTCAAAAAGAAGGAGATGCATATGCACTCATCCTCTTTGACATTACAGCAATCAAATTTTAGATTAATTTTACTCTTACATAGAAGCTAGATGCTGCTAAGGGAACAGCCTATCTTCATCTGGCTTATAGTAAACATTTGCCACTTGGTATTCAGGAGCCAGGTGGATTTTTTAAATCTTTGGCAATAGACACTAGCAGATCTCTGATAAACTGTGGCAAGTCAACCAGGAGAGAGCAGCGTCAGGACGGGTGCAATCGTCCCAGCAATGGAGCAGGCAGTAGGGTAAAGATGGATAACTATCATCAGCATGCCCTGAAGGCAAATGTTCAGCAGCCTTACAGTTGCTGCCTTGCTGCCTCCCTCTCTGCTTTTTGCCCTAGCTCTCCAAGCTCAGTCTAGGTATGTTGGTTCCTTCACTCATTCATTCAACAAATATTTATTGAGAACTTACCATGTGGCTGGTACTATTCTTACTGTTAAGAATATAATAATGGTCAAGAAATATATGGTTAGGTATGGAACATAAGAATAACTAAGCAATGGGCAGCTGTGTGGCCTAGTCAGTAAGCATCTGACTTTGGCTCAGGTCATGATCTTATGGTTCCTGTGTTCAAGTCTCACAGCAGGCGAGCTTGAGCCCCATTTCATATGGGTGTGAGCCCCGCTTCAGGTAAAACACGAGCCCTGCTTCTGGTGAGCCCCACTTCTCTCTCTCTCTTTCTCCCTCTCTCTTTCACTCTCTCTACCCCTGATAGGATTCTCTCTCTCTCTCTCTCTGACCCTTGCTCACCTTGCTCACTTGAGCCCTCTCTCTCTGGAAAAAAAAAAAAAAAAAAGAGTAAGCAAGGAATTATTTCATGGTGTGATAACCAGAAGGGAAATTCAAGTTGCTTACAGAAAGGGCATCTAATGCAAACTTAAAAGATTAAAAAATGTTTCCTGTAGGAGGTTATGTCCTGATTGAGAAAAAGAGGATGAAAAGGTAGACAAATGTGAATGAACTGGAAAATCAACCTAGGAAAGGAACACCATGTCCAAAAAAGGATCAGAGGTAGGCACGGTCAAGGAACGTGAAGTTCAGTCTGGCTGCAGCTGCATGTATAAGGAAGATAGCAAAAAAATGAAATGAGAAGGGTAGGCAAGGTCTATGTATCAGTCAGAGTTATCCACGTTGCACTCAAGTAACAAGTAAATACCAAAATATCAGTGATTTGATACAATGATAGTTATGTCTCATGCAAGATATATATCGAATGGAGGCAAGCTGGGAGTGGTGTGGTACAGTGCACATTGTCACTTAGGGATGGCTCTAGGATGGACACTTGTCATCATGTAGCTGCAGTACTAGGAATACCTGTCTTTCTTCACCACAACAGGGAAAGAGACATATTAATGTCTTTTATATATTTCAGCCTAGAAGAGACAGACATCACATATACCCATGGCTTGTTGGCTAGCACTAGTTACATGTCCTCTTTCCCAATGACTGCAAGGAAATAGAGATGTAGGGTAGCAGATGGAATGTTTAAAGTGTACCATTGTCTCTCGGTGTAGACATGATATTGTTGACCTTTGTAAAGCCATGTTAAAAAGTAGTTTGTGCTTTATTCTGAGGGCAATGAGGAGTCAGTGGAGAATTTTAAGATAATGAAAGGACCAGAGTCTTATTTCTTCTTGTAACACTCCTGGAGGTTTTGCCCCATTGGCCCCCTTACCTCTAATGGGATAGAAGTTGTTCAGAGTAGAAGCCATGGAAGTAATCCTGTTAGAGAATGAGAAATGGTGAAGATCAACAGGAGAAGGATTGATTGTACCCTCCCATCCCTCAATTAAAACATGTGCTTCTTTGAGTGCTGCATAGAATAAATGCCTCATTAAAAACTGAGCCCCTACTTATGATGCAGCAGCCCTGGGGAAGATGGACCGGCCACACACGGATATGCTTTGGTAAACAGAAGTAAGTAAAGGAGGCACCATGAGTCCTGAGCTCTGAACATGATGAGGAAGAAACATGATTGAAAAGTCCATTCCTTCCCTCTAGGCACATGCCTCAGTAGACATCCAGTGCCATCAGATCACAGTGAAAGAAGGCCCTTTGCATAGCATTCAGAGTTGGTCTTAGCCTCCTTGGGGGCTGAATGTTTACATATGGGAGGAAAAATAAGAGAGAAAACGGATGGGCAATTGATGTTATTTCTTTCTTTATCTCTGATAAAGAGATAAATGACTGATATTAAGAGATTATTTTGTGATGTGGGTGTGTCAAAGCAGATTACATCCTACCCCCTTTGCCTCCTCTTGTCCAGTCAGTGGTCAATATCTAGATGATTAGCAAAAGCTCCTCAAAACCTTTTTAAAAATACAGACTCCTTAGTCACATACTCATTTTACTGAATCTGATTCTCAGAGTAAGACCCATGGAGCTGTATTTCTTTTTTTTTATTTGCCAGGCTTGGAAGATGAAATGAAAATGAAGGAGCAATCCACCATGAAATTATTTTCTATCTAAAGATCAACTATAAATTTTAGTAATTTGAAGTTTTTCTCATTATTTAAATGTGGGTATCTCAACTCATTGCTCTAAAAAAAAAGTTTTCCAAGAACAGGAGACCCTAATCGTACTGTTGAATCTCTGTGCCACATTGCACATTGGTTGGCACCCAGCAGACATTTCAAAAATACAGAATAGGAGGCAGTAAAATCAAACTGAACGGGTATTCTGGGTAGAGAGGAGTTTGCAGATGCATATCACAAGGAAAGAAACAACATTCCTCCCTAGAGCACAAAACTATTTTTACGTTCAAGCTGCTCTCTTTTGGAAGAGATGTCATAAGCATTGTCAGCCTAAATCTGCCTTGTTTGACAGGCAGAATCTTACATGATTGACTCGAGAAGATTTACTTTCTAGATACATTTTTTAGCCCTCATAGGAAAATTATGAGGTAGCATTTTTATTTGTAATACTGTAAGTTGGCCAACTAGGTAAAATTGTGTCACTGTTGCATCAAAATGAAAAATAGTCATTTTATTTTCCCCCCTAAATCTGTGTGCTTTTTACCCTCACTCTACATGTCACAAATTTTTGCCTTTTGTGTGTCTGTTTTTTGCTTTGCATTTCATACAGGTTTGAATATTTTCAGTAACTTTATGTCAACATAGAAACTATTTAGAACTGGACCTCACCCTGTAGATGAAAAGCATGGGAATTTCTTTTTTCAGTTGAGAACCAAGCAAGTAGCTTTTAAAAGTGATAGTTGGGGGGGAGGAGGGAGCGCCTGGGGTGACTCAGTTTTTAAGCGTCTGACTTCGGCTCAGGTCATGAGTGTGAGCCCCATGTTGGGTTCTGTGCTAACAGTTCAGGGCTTGGAGCCTGCTTTGGATTCTTTGTCTCCCTCTCTCTCTGCCCATCTCCTGCTCACACTCTGTGTCTGCCCCTCAAAAATAAATAAATATTGACAAAAACAATTTTTAAGTGATATTTATTGGAGTGCTTTGGGTGGCTCAGTTGGTTAAGCATTTGAGTCTCGATCTCAGTTCAGGTCTTGATCTCATGTCCCTGGATTGGGCATGACACTAGGGGTGAAGCCTACCTAAACAAAAACATGTGATGAGTATTAAAACTGTGTACTAACAGTGAAACTTCCTAATATAAAATTTTATTATTTTTTCCAATCAAAAATATATGTTCAATGCTGAAAACCTTAGGAAACATCAAATCAAAAAAGATGCAGTTGACATCGGTGTTTAGGTCTACTGTGGCATATCAGTTCACAATTTGATTCCAATCCCCTGTAGCATTTTGGAGGATGGCGAGCTGAAGACTAAGAGACTTATGGAGCTCAGTGTCCCTGTATGCCCCAGCTTCCACCAAGCAGATACACCCACACAGACTGGGAAGACAGAAAAAGGTTGTGTCTACACTTCCACTTCTTGCTGTCAAGCACAGTCCTGCTGGCATTACTTCTTCTGCCACAGTGACGAGAGAGACAGCAGTGTCTGTTCCCCGGCTTAGTGGCTACACCATTTTGCTGGTGCGGCTCTCAGCTGAGTTTCTCTAGTCGTGGAGTCAATGACCATGGCAGCAGCTCCCAGATCACAGCAGAGAAAGTGGCCAACTTGGCAAGACTAGGACGCATTTCTGGAAGCTCAGTCAAGAACCTGCTTCTCTAGCTCTTCCAGTGATTTTGTAAGCACATTTTCTGATTAATTTCCTTTCTAGAATATCTTTTGTCACCTGCAACTGAACCCAAATTGTTTTAATGATAATCTCATAAACCAGAAGCAATCACTATTAACTTTTCATTGTCTCTATAGTTGTATCTGTATATATACATATATATGTGCATATTTATATTTTTCATGGAATAGTATAAATATACTGTGCTTTAGACTGAATCTTCCCTTAACTATAGAACATAAACATTTTCCCTAATCAATATACTCACTTCTACAGCATAATTTTAATAGGTAAAAGTCATTCCACAATTCATTTAATGAATCTTGTATTTTTGGACCACTACATTCATGCTCAACTTTCAGTATTATAAAACACTGGCAAATAGTCTTCTTATTCATGAAGATGATAACATCTTTGGCCTACTTCAAAATTTTTCTAGGCATGGTAGTGCTAAAACAAAAAGTATGAACATGTTAAGTCTTCTGTTACATGTTATTAATATTCTCTTTAGAAAGTAACATGTTTTACTCACACTAGCAGAGCAGATAGACACTTAGGTGGAAAAGAGAAAGGTTAACAAATATGTGAACAATATTTTTCAATTAGTCAGTGTACACTATATACAGGGAAAATACTTGGAAGGAAACAGTCAAAAAGAGTAACAGGGATTTTATCAGTATTGCAGGTTGATAGATGGTTAAGTCTTTTTTTTCCCCAAAGTTTCTATAAGATCACTTTTATCATTTAAAATGCATGTAATAATTATAAAGAAAGTAAGTTGGCCTTCTTTAAATGCTGTGTCCTTTAGTAGCTGTGGCAGATGGAAATATGCCATATAGTTGTATGAGAGGGCAAAATATCTGAAAATTATTTGCAACTTAAGAAAAGAAGTTTCTAATGGAAAATAAACAGGTGGGTGAACATTAGTTTAAACTCATTGGTAATCTGTGTGCCCATGTCCTTGGGAAATAGTTTGGATCAGAGTTTATGGTATTAAATAGGAGGTCACAACACACTATACTCTCTGGCTAGGAAAATACTTTCCTCTGTTCAAAATGTAACCAACTATCCTTAAACTAGATATTTAGGTATTTGACCTTGGTACTGAATGAAGACATTTATACTAAGACAAAATTTGCTTTCTTCTCTAGATCCCACTCTCCTGAGAAATAGCTTCTCCTGATAAGTAATATCAAACAAACTAGCATTTTCTCAGCAAAATTCACCCAATGGGAAGCTTTCTCAATACAACTTTTGATGCGATTTGAAATTGTTGTTCCTAAAAGACAAAGGTTACTACAACTTACCCCACCATCATAGGTTTGCGAAGCAACCCATTCATCTGGAAAAATGTTACCTTATGTCAATACATAGCCATTATAATTTTAATTATAGTAAGAAATCCTATTAAAATGCAGGTCACTGCATTTTAGTCCATCTTGTCCAAACCTCAACAAGCAAGAAATGGACCTCAGACATTGCCCCCAGAATATGTCATTATACCTGAAAGCATTGTGTCATCTAGGAAAACAGAAATATATCTCTCTGCCATTAACTGAACGTTGACGAAGAGTCACTAAGGGGTAATATTGCCTCTTTAATTCCAAAGACGTTTTTCTCTCACTACATGACAGCTGTTGAATATTATCTCATATTTTTGCTCTCATGATAGACCTACCAGCACATATGTTAAATTGTCTGATAACTTAAAAATAAGGGCAATTCCCTAAATGCCACTCTTTTTCAATCATTACTATTTCTTGTAATTTGCAAGAAGAAAAGGAAAGCATAAAATGGGACCTATGAATATTGTATTTCCTCTGCAAAATCTATTAAATTACATAGACAAGCACTTTAAAATACATAGAAGGCCATCCACATTGCAGAGGGCTTCATATTTCTAAATACATGCATGTAAGATATCTGTTCACTCTAAATACTTATCAGAAATAATATTTCTTTCAACAGTAAAACTTTAGTTATCTAAGGGAAACCTTAGTCAGTAGAGCATCTAACTCTTGATATTAAAACACACACACACACATACACACACAAAACAAAAACAACTTTATCCAAAATTATTTGCATGTATACACACATGCACACACACATGCACATACACGCGTACAAAGTGTATTGGATATGTCTTATACACCCTTTCCGATTCTCCTCATGCCACCTCTTTTATTCCATCCATGGGTGAAGCAATCAGTGTACATACCTTCAAACACTTCAGGGCATTTTCCCCTTGAGAATGCCTTGCCTCAGACAAGTTACAGAAGCCTCTTGCCTTCTGCCCAGGTGTTCTCCACTCATGCAACTGTGTGGGATGCAACAGAAGCGTGCTTTGCATCCATGCATGTGCTATCCAGAAGGGCAAGGCCAATTATTAACCAAGAGCAGGTTGAATAGGTCCTATCACAGAAGGACATGTTTTATATGGCTGAAATAATTGAATAGCTAGTTATCCATGGGATATCTACTTGACAATAGATTCTCATTTTGCATCCCTCTCATTTCCTGCTTTGCTCCACCTATCATTCATCTTTGTTCCTTATGCTCATATTCCCCAGTGAAGTGTTTGA